AAAAGAAATGAAAAAAGTGAAGAATAGACAGCCTACAAGCATTCCCTTCCAGCCAAATTACTAATAGCCATCAATGATTTTATAGCAGTATACTGTACATTTTCTCAGTTGAACACTGGTCATCACTGTCATACCACAAAGGCATCCAGGTTTTCAGTGGTAGCAGTGACATTTCATATTGTATTACTGAATCATTACCATGTTCACCTGCACTAGAGGTATCATCATACTAACACAAAATGCTACTATAGATGTATGGGACAGACGTGAATTTCAATTATCATAAGCCCGTCTATAAATGTCAGGGTGTTGGCATGCATGAGTTTGTGTGGAGTTAGTGAATGAGAAGTGTGAGAGTAACTAAATGAGGGTGAGAATGCTTATATGAGTGAGAGAGTGAGTGAAAGAGGGAAAGGGTGAAAGAGTAAGTATGAGTTTGAGTGTGAAAGAGTAAAGAGAAGAGGAGAGAGAGAGAGAGTGTGTGATTGAGTGATTGTGAGTAAGCTAGTGAGAGTAAATGGTTCAGTGTGAAAATGTCAAGTACTAAGCAAAATAAAATAAAATACATTAAACCCTTTCAAGATGCAGAAGTATGTGAGGCACAAGGAGTCTCGCATTCTACCTTGAATATGTGAAATCTTGAGTAAACTGCAGCATCATTGAATGGCAACACTCACACCTCTTAATATTACACTCTCAACATCCAATGACTAGTCAGGGAACCCGTAGATAGTGTTGCTCCTTTTTAACTAAGGCTAAAAAAGATCTGCTTAGTATATATTAGTAACTGGAAATTCTTTGCTCTTAAAAAAAAAAGAAACCCTCCAAAACTTTACTAAAAAAATCAATAGTAAGAACTGGTTTATAACTTTCAAATAAGATAAAGACCCATACAGACTTCTAAAATGCAAAAGCACATACTTACATGCAAGGACACAGACCTATTACCCCTTATACACCTTAACACACTACTTTTTCCTTTCTTTCTTTCTTTTGTGAAACAGATAATTCACTTAATGATGTACTCCAGGAAATTAGAAAAATGTCCTACTCTGACCAAATGACCGCACGTACAGAAAACTTGCTTGAATCTTTAAAACTCTGAATGAAACTTACTGTGGACGGCTTTTCTCTTTTTTCATCAATGGGCCTGGTGCATCTTGCTCAGTGGTATAGAGAAGAATTAGTTTGTACATAACATGGAATGAATGGCTGTTGACATCTGCACTAACAGAAATTACTACAACATGAGCAAACTCTGAACTGGCTTAGTTGTGAAGAGAAATTAACCTCCTTTGAATCTTACTGCAATTAATATATCATTATCTGACACACACAAAGCATTATATATTCTTTCTTTTGATAACTTTAGCTCCTCCATTATATTTCATCTATCAATCATCCACATTTGCTCTCCTTAGAGTGCTTAATACTTCAATGAATAAATGAAATGTATTATTCATCTTTTAAAAAGAATATGAGGTTACTGGTAATGCTAAATTGAAGCAAAAGACTAATACACAGAAAATAATGAATAAAATTAATGAATAAAATAAACAATACAAAGTAATATAAATCAAATCTTTATAAAAGAAATTCTTGATACAAGAATCACCCACTAGAGACATGAAAGAAAATGTAGGCTTACTAAAACCAAAACAATAAAGAATGGTAATAATAAAGGAAGGTGTGCACCAGATTCATATTTTACAAATCTTATTTTATTGTAAGGTTCATGACTGCATTCTGCATACTAACATATTCTTTATATACATTATTTAACCTCTATCCACTTTCATCACTTCAATAAAACACTGAATGCTTAATAATATGTATAACATAGTTTTTACTAGGCCTTTAAGATGCAACATAGAAAAAAAATGTATATGGTACCAATATGTTATCCTGAAAGGAGGAAGTCAGTCTGAATATATTCACATTAAATGTACACTTAAAATCAGTTTCCAAATGGTGTAAATCACCATTCTCAGTAATATGTACAATCATTGACATGCAAGAATTTAATCAAGTATTCTGCACTGTTTCCAGCAAGACACAGAAATACCAGTCAAGAGAATACAATTTCTTATTGTATTAACAACTCCAAATTTAATACAACTCGTTCTCTAAACATGTTTCTATTGCAAATTAAATCAATTTCTATTGTTACTAATAAGCATTATATGCATATACATCATTGACAACCCACAAAACAGAACAAAAATCGATATATTTTCTGTTAGCATTTGAAAAGGAATATTTGTACCAGTAAAGTTATCTACAGACATGAAGCTAAATACCCCCCAAAATGAAAATATAACGACCATCTGAAAATGCAGACTTCAAAAGGAATGGCAAACTTAACCTCAGATGGAAGTGAACCATCTTTGTCTCTGAGATTGTCACCTTATTTACTATAACCATAATTTATGCACCTACTTTTCTATTCAACATAATTATTTTCCCCAAACTGATTCTCTATCTTTTTAGTCTTTTTCATGAGCAAGATAGGAACAAGACTATAAACTCAAAAAGGTCATCCATTTTCCTGAGTGCATTCCAAGGTTAAAAATCAAATCTGGCTCCATGCAATATCTTACATTATTTTAATCTATTAGTAGAATTTATGTACCCATTAAGTAAATAATGCAAGTCATTATACTATAAAAGAAAAAAAAATGATGGCTCCATCCACAGATTTTTCCCAATTTGGAAAATAATAATAACAATAATAATAATAATCTACAAAACAATAAAAGAAATAAACAATCGCAGTAGGTAACTGAGAGGATTTTCCTTTATTAGCTTTGTTTTTCATGTATGTGGCCATTCAGACCTTACAAGACGTATGGCAAGATTAATAACAAAATTCATACACTCATACATACAATAACCAAAACAAAACAAAACAAAAAAATACAAAAAACAAATATACATGGTAAATTAGACATTTCCTATAGAGACAACACAATGAAAAATATTCTCATGTTCATCTTTGTGTCAATCTGCTTACAGCTTGAATACAACTTTTCTCTGAGATACAAAAAGTGTCTATTGCATTACTACTGAGATCTGTTTCTGGAAAATGTAAACAGAAAATAATAAGAAAAAGGGACAAAATGAAAGAGAAAAGGAAACCGAGTGAGTAATCAAAATGAAAGAAGAGCAAAGGATTGCCAAATCACAAAAACACCATTGCATTTTCTTTATATCAGTAACACAATTCCATTACCAATTACCAGCCTTTAGCTGATATTCAGTTTGAAGTCAAGAGTATTTTATATAACTTTTTTTTTTGCATAAACCTGAGAAACTGAAAAGTCTAGGCAAAGTCTTTGTCTGTGAAGTAAGGCATCCATCACCAAATAAAATTTGCATAAAACACAACAAACTGATCTATAATAATAAAATACCCACCTAAAAGCACTTTTTTAATACTTGTACAATCATTAAAAATGAAATAATAAAAAAAGGGATTCACTATGTGTTATTATAATTAGTGAATATAAATCTCAAGTGGCCAAGTTAAACTAAATATATATCCTCATACAAAAATGAAGAAAAATGAGGACAGAGAAATATGTGAAACTACTAAAAGTTTGGCCCTAATAAAACAAATTCCGTAGTTCATCTTTCAACGTCAATAATTGATATTAATCATTTTTAGGCTAGTGATGCCAAGAAGGCATGTACACATGCCGTATCAACTGAGAGTATTTCATTAATCCTGTTAACCCCTACAATCCAGATGACATAAAAAAATATGGCTTGAGGGGCTGGTGATGGGAAAATTTGGCTGATGATTGGGTGACAGGAACCTGCCATCGTGAGAATTTCAGCTGAAGGCTGAGGTGACAGGAAAGACTTGCCGCTGGTGCACAAAGCTCTTGAAGGGTGAATAGACTAAGTGGGCAATTAGGAAGGGGCTTTTGTATTATTTCCACTGATAAACAAGTGTGGAATGCACCATCCGTGAGCCAGGGAGGATGCCATTTCCATGCTCAGTATCCTATTCTAGCATTGTATTACAGAAAATTGAATATTATGAAAATTTAAGGGCACAAAAAACAAAATGTTAATTATTATTAATATTATTGCGCTGAGTTATGGACTACCAAGAGAAATGATGTCGGAAAATGGAGAGAGAGAACAAAAAGAAAGAAAAGAAAAACTCACAGAAAATGAGAAGGGTAGGCATGGAGTCTTGTCACTGCACACGAGTGTTCATGTGAGCCCTGCCTACAGGCCACACACCCGTCAAAATGGCTGCTCAAGTAAACTAATGATCGTATTTTGGGCCATGTGTGGGCAGTAAAGCATCTGGATCCAAGAGGTTAACACAGTTAGTCTACCTTCTCTCCTGTTTACCCTGTTCCTTGTATTTTCAGAAACATTTCTATTCACATTACTACTCCTATTGTTAATAATATATTACTAATACTGTTGTTAATAACCTAGTAACAATAAAAACAGCATTAGAGTTAAAACTTCTCCAACAAATCAAAGGAATGGGGTAAATAGGTGAGGTCAGAAAGGTCTAGTACCCGACTCCTTGGTGACTAAGCACATGTGAAGCCATCTAGAAGTAAATAGCATTGACGATGTATGTACCTGGCACCAATGGGTTAATATACCTATAAAAAAAAAGTAGTATTTATGTTTTTCCAGCACAAAAGGAAACAGAACAATACAGCTTTTATAAAGACAAATAAGCCTGCATGGATGCAATGAAGAAGGACTTCTGTACAAAAAAAAATATTGATACATGATTAACTTCTAAACAACAAATACAGAAAACTCAATCCCATGTATGGTTGCAAACTTTAGTTAACATTTCCATTAAACAAGAGAAATAAACAAATACTTTCTCTCTTTATAATAGATCAATCATAATCATTTGTAGAGGAGTAAATCTGAGGTCATTACAGCTTAAAATTTAATGGCAGAAATCTTCCTTTGTTAATGGCATAGATGTCTTCTGATATGCTAGTCATTCAGGATTTTTTTAAAGATAATAATTTAAGAAAAGACTCTACATTATTATGCATCATTTAAGCTTCAGAAATATCTAATAATCACAAAATGAACATAAAAATACTAATGAAAAATATGATAAAAATAATAGTATATATATACAGCTCTTAAAATACAATCATTATTCAGTAAAAAAAAACATTTTCTTTCAAGCCAAACCTGCAAACACCAATGCAGAAAAAAACATAACATAGCAATAGAATAGAAAGGCTAAAACAAAACAAAAAAAAAGAGAACAAATAGTCTGAAACCTTGGGATAAATCATACCTTCACTCTCTCAGTTTTAAAAATGTGTTCATAAAAAACTATAATTCTCAGAAAAACACATTTCTACAGACTATATATATAATATAAATATATAATGAAGTTTTATTTTGCTTTCTTTAGATAAATAATATCAAATCTGAGAACACACTTGTAAAAATCTACTGACCTCTTTCCTTAACGAGTCAAAGTCCGTAAAACTTGTATAGTAAATCTCGTTTGGGAATAAAATAGCATGTCAACCTAAAATACTGACCATTAATAAGCCACGACTATACATCTTTCAAATGTATTTGGTTGACTAGGAAATGAAAAATAAAAATTTACACAACTCATAAAAATAACCTAACTCATTTACTTCAAATCTTGATGATAACACGGTCTTAAAACATATGCAGTTTGTTCGTACGACAATAATATGATGCACTGATTTAATGACTGACTGCAATCACACAGGAACTATCAACCTTCATTTCCCAAAGTACCAATGAGACTGCGGCATTGTGAGTGAGATAGGGTTTGGATGCAATGGCAGATGCGGGGAAGTGAGAAGAGAAATTAATGCCCTCATAATACTTGTGACTAGTTTCGTATTTTGGCTTCACCATCTACCACTAAAGCAATGGAGTCGTGGGTCGTCTTTCTAACTGTAAGAGAGAAACCAAGAAATCCTACCTGTACATGACACAACTGTAATGAGGATGTTGCATATCTGATGGAGCACACAAATGCTGAGTGATCGCACTGTGAATGCTGGGCTTTGTTTGTATAGATTAATTTTCTCACACTCTCGTATTATTTTTTTCCAATAACATTACTGTGCTAAGGTTTGTCCCCAAAAGCTCATTAGTGCTTCCTACCTATAATAGACAACAACAGAACGGCGATCATGTCCTATACTTGATCACTCGATTATCCTCAAAATTGTCAAATGTGCTTAATTTATTTTCAAAAAGAGAAAAGAATGAGAGAAAAGAAAAAAAAAAAATCAACAGTACCTGAATTTTCTACCCTGCATAAGATCTATCTTCTATGACCTTTCAAAATGGAAAAGTATTATCTTCCCTTGTATATTTTTTTGTGTCAAACTATATCACATCATAATGGTAAACCTAATAATAAAAGAAAATATTCAATAATATGTTACAATAAATATATTCCTTCAATATCAGCAGCATTTACTCACCCATGATACAACTACCTTCTCTATGAGGAGCATTATTACATTTTTCCATGTTCTGTACATAAGCGCATTTGCTAATGAACTAATTCATGAGGTTTTCATGTTGCAATATTCACGTCCACTAAAAAAAAAAAAAATTACGACAATCTTTAGGAGATGGGGAAAAAACAAAACAAAACAAAAAAAGGATTGTTCCCCAATTTCTAATCATGTCACACTGGCCAAGTGCAGCCAAAGGACAGTATTAAATTGGCTAAAGATGGCACTGATTACAATGCTATACAATAACTGACTGTAATGGAAAGAAAGAGAAAGGTTGTGTTGAGAAGAGGAAATGCTAATAATAACTAAGAATAAATACAATAATGTGAATAACAATGATAACATTAATACAGATAATGATGATAATAAAATCATACGAACAAAAAACAAATAAATGAATAAAATAAATATGATACTAATATCAATAATCATAAAAATAATATTAAGTACCAACACATTGACAATAACATACTAAAACAATGTTGAAAATAACATATCCTGAAGAAAATAATTATATCAACATTAGAAATACCTCCAAAAGTGTTTCTATCTACAAACGAAATCTCTCACTCACTGATGGCACTACGTAGGTTCCCTCTTCCATAAGAGATAGTGAAGAGCACAAGGAGAACCAGCTCTTCCTGTGCTCTGTAGCAACCACTCATGCACTTGGAATTAAGGCATACAACAAATATGACACAGTGTGTGATAAAAGATTAAATCTGGGAATGGCATCTGCAGTAAAAGCTTCACTAAGACTTCAATGATGATATGATCAAGAGAAATGTATATGAAGCCCATGTTAGTGCTAGACTCTTTAGTTACTTACAAAAAGGCCAGGATTTTATTCACTACAACTGTCATTATCACTGTAATTGCTGCATTGTCACATTAAGGTCATATCTGCAGTGGGAAAGCATTGTACATTGTACAGAATGTGTAAAAATATTTAAAGCTACAATGACCTAGATACAAATAAAAATGCATTCCTTGATGATAGTGACGTGCTTGTTCTATATTAAAAACAAAAGCTGTCGCCCATTCTATCATTGTGTGAATTTTTTTTCCATCATATGGGCTCATTTTTTCTATCATTCACTTTGTGACTACTGAGAATACACTGCACATTCTCTCACTATCTAATACCATCTGTTCTACATGCATTTGTCTGTGACAAGATACATTTCACACTGTTCACAACTTCACACTGACCCTACATTAAAGATTCCAGGGTCACTCATTATGCCATTTATTATGCAACCTCACTCTTCAAGTCATGCTGTATTTGCATACAAGTAGTCCACAAATAACTTTCAGTACAGTTGTAAAAAATCAATCACAAAACCTCTTTGTTTGTCATTCTTTCTTTCTTCTGATGCAAGACTTGAACCTGTCATTACACGTTTTCCTGTACAGCGCAAGGTATGTTCTGCCCACCAGAGCCGAATCACCACACCAACTGGCATATAGAAGTGAACACCCAGTACAAAAATGACATCCAAATCCACGTGGAAACAATATAGAAAATATGACGCAGGATAAATTCCAGAGTATCGTGAACTACTCTCTGCCCCGTTAGTCTGTTTGTCTCTACTGGTTCGAACTTGGGGTCATGTGTAGTGTGAGCATCTGGGAAGATGCCAGTGTCATAATATTCCTGGAGAATAGCTTCTTTCTCTTCATAACGATCATACAGCCACTTAGTCAACGTTTCCTCATCTTTTGGAATCTGGTGGTAAAACAGGCAATGCTTGTAATGATCAAAATGCCCAAAAATACAGGTGAGATGGAAACAATATTTACCATTCATATCAATTATTTCCAAATAAACCATATCAAACAGGCAAAGCATATTCAGGTGCTCTTATACTTTATACGAAAAATAAGAAAGAAAAAAAATTGGGAAAAACATGGAATTAACAACTCGAACATAAAAGAAAGTTCTAAATTCCAATACTATACTTCCTTATACTACATAATATTAAATTTACCTCTTCAATATTATATCTGCGATAATGGAAGATTGTATCGCACGCTGGTCTCCAGCCTCCAAAAATAGTTGGTAGGTCCAGCGGTCGTCCACCTGGGTATGCTATAGTGACATCTAGTAGATACTTGATCTTATCAGAATCATCTGAAAATTCAAAATCTAGACATCAGATTATCTGCATATCTACAAGCACCTAAAGCACCTATTTTACCCATTACATATATAAAAAAAGCTATTCAGTTCACTTAACTCTTGTAAATCCATTAATATTCTCTGTTTCTTTTGTCTGATACATGCTGAAGGACTTGTACACTACAACAGGCTTATCTTTATAATTACTTCAAAATAAAACTATTTTTACCTATCCAATCTATTCTAAAAAATTACTTAAAACAATTTTGTGCTCCATTCTGGAATATGCTCTGAATACTTAAAGGTTCATCAACTAAAAAAAGTACTTCGCACCATAGAATCAGTCTCTTCTTACAGCATGCAAAATCTATTGTACAAGTGATCTTTCATTCTTTTTTTCTCTAATTATTGAAGGAATGAATGGTTTATCAATAATTCACCTAGGAGGAGCTGGACTTGAAACACAAATGATCAGATTTATCATCCGTATCCATTCCACACACAGTGACAAGAATACATACCGGTATGCTGCTCTGCTGCTGCATTATCAACTATGACTTTGAGGGCACCAACACGAGGCAAAGCAACATTTTCCAACACTGGAAGGTTATTTTTCTTGGCGTAACTTTGGCTGGATGCCTTTCGGTTTTTGAGGAATCCACCTTCTGGGAAGAGTACCAACCACTTTCGCTTTCGTGGGATATAAAACTTCTGTAAGTGTGATCCCAGTTCAAGCAGTGATGCTTCTCTGTGCTGTTTGCCCTGTAAAGACAAAAATTAAAGATGTACAAGGCTCCTACTTTTCAAAAAACATTCCATGAGAGAATGGCAATCAATCATAAAAAATTCTCAAACCTCAATATTACCATAGGTAAGTCTTTAGCTTAACCCATTAACACAGGGTTTAAAATCTGACTAGTGGCCATTAATAAGGGATTGCTAGTGATCATTGACAGTTTCTCCTGTTTTGTTTGCTAGTTTGTGTTTGTGCAATATTAGGCACCTAAAAGCTTATATTTTGTTATAATTTTTAAGCATTTTTTAAGTGTGAAGGTTTACCTTACTTTTGCTATAAAAAGCCAATGAAAACTAATATCACTTTAGGTGCTATAGCCTAAAAGTTTCACCATTGAAATGATGCCGCTACTATCGGAGAAAAACAAGTTCCATCCGATGACTTGAAGGGGCAGGAATGATCGTGATGTGATGCCACCCACTACTTGGTCCACATTACCCATGGCATGTACATACATGACATAGGGAGGCAAGGGATTACCAATATGCTATGTAATTTATGCCAGGTTTTTACATTTAAAACTTTCTGAATACAGCAACAAATTTTCTAATCCTAATCCTAACAATCTTAATTTTTTTTTTTTAATCTCTTATAACATATCTCTAATAATAAAAATAAGTTACTATTGGCAGCTGGTAATTAGAATTCTAAAACAAAAAGGAATTAAAAATATATATATTATTAGTCTCATGAAAACTAAAATTAGCATTACCCACTATATTGGAAGAATCCTTCTCATTCACAACTCATATTCAGTTATCATTTAATTCACTTTCATGCACCAACATACCCCATGAATGAAGAAGTCCCCATGAGCCCACGACACGATACCAAAATTGGTAAGCTTGAATACATGATCCATGATCCACATGATGTTATTGGACAGATTAGGGCGGGAGTTGAAGGCAGCCATGATGAGCGGCACGTCAGAAGTGGACTGGTGATTAAACAGCACCAGTGTTCGTTCTTCTATCAAATCCCACACCTGAAAGTAGCCATGGACAGTTTAGTCATGATATACACCTACAGTGCAAATTATCATGTACTTGGTACATTCTACACATCTACTATCCAGTACTTTATACTATTTTTATAGTCTAATGCTTGTCCACAAAAATGTCCAGCTAGCCATTTAACCCAATGCAACTAGGAAAATATGATGTTAACTCCAGTATTATTTTGCAAAATGTATTTATACAGAGCACCAAAAGTGTTCTGCCAATAAGGAGTTAATTTGTAGTCAATGTGAACTCAACTGAGTTCTCTCTTCCTTGTTTTTTTTCTTTCTTTCTTTCTTTTTTTAAAACTATTAACATTTTTATCATCATAGACAATGTAATTACTAGTGTTATAAACAATATATACAGTAATATAAACTAAAATAAATTATTTCCAAATCAAGGAAAATGGTAAACAGGTGAGTTAGATAGGATTAGCAATTGACTCTTTGGTGACTATGCAATTTGTGGAGCCATCAATGTGTAATTGCAATATATTAAGTTCAACTTCAGCAAGGCATGTACATGCATGCCATCCCCGGCTCCACTAGGTTAATCTGCACTTTTTACAAAAATCAATAGAATACATTTGGTATGAATATTCCAAAAATACAATTTTCTTCTTTCTAATACCATTAACCACAATAAGACAAGTTAATACATAAAGAGCTACTCGAGTCATTATACAGATTATAACGGGCAATATCAGACTCAAGTCAAGGAATACTGCCATACTGAACACTGGGTGCATTATCTGGGAAGTTAGGGGAGCCATACATGGGCTTTAATTGCCTAAATCCTACTTATTTTTTCATGGACAGTGAAGATCTAGTCTTCAAAATTTGTTCAATAATATCATTCAGTTATAACATAAAACTTTTTTCATATCAGCCTAAATGGTCCTAAGAAGGATTTACGAGCAAAAAATCCTTTTGTTTAGAACTGTACGGACTGAAGCATACACACTAATTTGGTAGAAAGTACACAAAATAGGTAAAAAAACTGTACATTGTACACAATACAAAAATGCCTGTTTAGCTGTTACACAGGCATTTTTGTATTGTGTACAATGTACATTTTTTTTTACTCACACAAACATAAATTTTTTCACAATATAGAAAGAACTCTAACCAATTATCTGATTGTTACTTAATGATGGCAAAGATTAATCATTCTGTGAAACTAATTCTTGGTATTTATAAGTCATCAGCTGAAGTCATCCCTTTTTCTTATACAATGGATCTATTGGACCCAATCAGACTGAATTGAATTATGCATAATATACATCTCATAGCAGGTACAATAAATATGGAAACTGATTTACCCTAATAAGAGTAGTGACAAGTTAGCTACACCTATCTCTCATTCGGCATGCATGAACAGCAGCACAATAAATTATGTGAATCTTAAAAAGTAGCATAATTGTGCATGCTTCCTTCCCCTGAAACCAGAACTCATGGCTATCAAGCCAACAACATACTTACATCATCACCAACTTCTACAACATTGTACCCAGCACTGTAGGACCACATCGCCACCATGGACAATAGCCATCGGAACATAATGCCTTCCAGGAACCAGTAAGTCGTCACTGAGACCCATTTTAGCGGTTGGAGCAAAAGGACCCAACACATATGAACCGGGATGCAGTAGCAGTTATTCAGGGTACAGACAAATATCCGGAACGCTGCTTTCAATCCGATGTATAAC